GGGGGGGGGGATTTTCGGAGGTGGAGGCGGTTTCCGGAGGAAGACGGGGAAAATGTTCCACAGCAAAGCGGCGGTGGATCACGTTTCTTCATACACATATTTGTAAATACAGTTTTGCACTGACATACATATGTATGTAGATATATGTGTACATATATAGATATGCAGAGACACTGATTGTAAGCATATGTGTATATTTGTATACCAAATGTTGGTGGGTGAGAGCGAAGTGACCGCAACCGGGAAGTCGAGTTCAGTCTCGGCTCGTGTCGTCTGTGCAAGCGAGACGAAGTTACACGAGGGCGACGGTGCACCAGCTTAGGTATGGCCACGTCGCACAAGTGTCTCTTCCGGTCGCGCGTGTCTTCGCCTTGGTTGTTCCATGGTTGTCCCGCGGTTGTCCCGTGAGTTGTCCCGCGGTTTTCCCGTGTTTTTTTCCCGCGGTTGTCCCGTGGGTTGTCCCGTGGATTGTCCTGTGGTTGTTTTGTGGATTATCTCGCGGGTTGTCACGTGTTGCCGCGCGGGTTGTGTCGCGCCAGTTGCGCCTTGGGAAATGCAAATTTCGCTGCAATCGGACAGCATGTTCACGAAATTGTCATCACAATGCAAATCGGAAATCACATCGGCAATCATATCGAGGGGGGTACAAGTAGCCAATATCAACAAAGTTCATGTTGAAGAGAAGAACATGTCAATATTGTTCAGCGCGTAGCTGGTACACAAGGTTCAGAATGAAGAAGGAAAGGCTGCCTCAGCCGCCCGGGGGGGCGGCCCGCTCCTCACCAGGTTTCTGCCTCTGTCTACTTGTTGAAGTAGAGCACCGTGCATATCCTCCACCTCCTCTCTCCTCTCCTGAGATTGGCTGCTGCTGTCTGCCCCTCCTCCTCCTCGCCTGTCCTCGGGGTGTTGGTTACCTCTCCCTCCTTCTGCTTGCCTTGCGTCAGGGTGGCTGCTGTTGGCGTCGCTGCCTCCCCCTCCTCCTCGTCCTCCTCCTCTGGCTCCAGCTGGTGCGGTGCCCGTAGGCTCCGGCCTCTCGAGCTCTCTGCCTGCGTCCACTTGCAGTACAAGATCTGCGTGGTGCTGGTGTTGCTGGCTGCTGCTGTTTCTGTGCGCGTTGGTGCTGCTGCAGCGGTCCTGAAGGACGGCCGCACGGATGCCGGCCATCATCTTGAGCCGCATGCTGAACAAGCGGAGGGCGTTGTCATCCTGGGAGAGTGGCCAGGCCATCCTCCGGGACAGGCTGCTGATGGGCATGTCGATGCCCGTGCGGAAGCGCTCGAAGTGGATGCAGCGCCAGAAGTCGTGGTGGACCGTGGCTGCCTCACCTCCCGCGCACCGCGTGCACATCGGCATCGGGTCATCCTGACCATGCTGATTTGCGAAGTTCCTGGCGTCTGAATGCACTGCCCCTACGAGCACTGCCACCTCGTGCGGGTTCACCCCAGCTCTGAACGAGGTGTGCACCTGCTTCAGCTCCTTGTCGGGGAAACCCACATTCTCCTGCTGCGCCATGCGGGCTTCCCTCCGATCCTGCTTCTTGAACGCCTCCCACTGGGAATGGCGCAGAGCACGCCGCAAGTAGTGGAGTCTGGCCTTGCCCGGGGTGCGAGCGGTGATGTCATTATCCTCGTCGAACTGGTGCTTGAAAACCATCTCGTCTTGGCCCTGGGGCCCCTCCGTGTCAATCAAGATCCAGCTCATCAGGCCCATGGTGTGGATCAGGGCGGAGTGCCCAGGGAGGGTCAAACCCTGCTGGTGCCACCTCCGCAGATCGCGGTCGACTGCTGCATGGCCCTTCCGGCGCCGCCTGGTGTCGAACACCTCCCAGAGCCGCCGGAGCTGCGCGTACACCACGTTCGCGTTGTGGCCCACCACCACCATCTCCAAAAGGTGTGGTGAACCAGTGCCCCAGCACCGTCTGCCTCGGTAACTGCACACTGCGTGCCGCGCTGCCGTCTGTATCCGGGCCTGGGTCCCCTTAGGGAGGCACCGAGCCAGCATCCTCCATGTCAGCGTCGACATTGCGGAGCCACACAGCAGCTGCGTCTTTTTCCCAGGACCCAGGGGCAGCTTCTTGATGTTCGCGGCGCGATCCAAAAATGTACCCACGGACTTCTTTTCCCTCTCGCTCAGCTCTCTTCTCGGGATCAGGTCCACCCCAAGCAAGGTGACTGATGTAGCTGGCTTGTACTCCTGACGCGGCGCCCTCCGGCGGGCCCTCTCGTCTGCCAGAGGGTGGCGTGGGGGGGCTGGCGGCGAGCTCCTGCGGTGGGTGCCCGCGTCGTCGGCGTCCTCCTCCTCCTCCTCCTCCTCCTCCTCGTCTGCCTCTGCTGCGTCTGCGTCGGCCTCTGGCTCCTCCTCCTGCGCCTCCTTTGCCTCTTCCTTCTCGTCTGCCTCTGCGTCCGCCGCCGGGCCGCGGCTGTCTGGCCCCGTCACTGCGGTCTTGCTGCGTACGCGTCTGCGCGTCGCCTGTGCTGCCCGTGCTGCCTCAGCTGTCCCTTCCTTCTCCTCCTCTTCCTCGCTGCGTTTCCTCTTCTGCCTCCGCTTGTGCGCTGAGAGCCTGCCGTCCCAGCCGCCAACATAGGCCTGCCAACGGCCTGTTCTGCCATCAACATGCATGTTGCACTGCTTGGACTGGTTGGAGGCCATGCCGGTGACCGCCTCGAAGCGACGCCACAGCCCGTCGATGAACTCGATGGTGGCGAAATCCTCTGAAGCGGCTGCACGGTCATCGGCATATACGCTCAGTACAGCTTCTGCCTGGCCCCCCAAGGACCTGACCGCTCGCCACACGACCGGCGCCAGCAACGTGGCCATCGCAGCCATGGAGGCAGGGTCTCCCTGCGGCAGAGAATTTGAGACTGCAAACGGCGTGGGGTGGACAACACCCGCGAGCTCACAATAGCGTATCTGTCTCTTCCAAGTGCTTGTGATTGACGTCACCACACACTCGTCTACACCCAGTGCACACCACAGCTCCGCCACCAGCGCCGGGGACACGCTGTCGAAGGCAGCCTGGAAGTCCCAGAGCCTGACGTACACCTGCCCGTCCTCATCGGCGAGGGCCTGTTCGATGCGATCCAAAATGCCATCCAGAAGGGACTCCAGGGTCCGCCTTGGGATCCCGCCGGCCTGGCTCGGGTGGAACACAGGAATAATGTAGTCCATGATCTGCCGCGTGCGAAAACGCATCCAGAAGCGCGACACAACTGAAGCGATCGCAATCGGTCGAGCTGCAAATCGCATGAAACATCAGAATGCAAATTCAAGTGAAGATCGGAATGTATATGGTAAAGCGACTGTATTTGCAGTCGATATGCACATCGAAATGTGCATCGGCATGCACATCGAAATGCTAATACAAATGCCAATCGAAATGCATGTCGAAATGTAACTCGAGATGCGATTGCAAATGCAAGCCAATGTACATGTGTTACATATACATACCGGAATCACATTCGACGTGCAAGTCGCAGTGGGCATGTACGGTAGGTTCGCGTCGTGTCGACCGGCGGCGACCCCGGCGTGGGCGTTCAAGGTTGAACGCCGGCGGCGGCCCAGAATCGTTCGTTGTTGAACGATTGGACGTTGCGGAAATGGCCGATCGTTCAAGGTTGAACGATCCAGCGCGGTGTCAGAAACCAACGCCGGGGTCGACACGACGCGAACCTGCCGTAAATCGGCATCGACATGCAGGTCGGAATATGCTTCGCAATGCAAATCGTAGAATTGCTGCGGGAAGAATAACTCACGCGACAATGCGGATAGATAGCGAGATCGGGCAATGAGATCGATATGTAGATAATGTGACCGATATATAGCGGGATAAGTTGATTGATAATGAGGTCGCTAGATAGGCAGCGGTCTTCAAAGATAGACGGTGAGGTCGATATGTATGTATATATATAGTGAGATCGGCGGGTAAGTAGTGGTATCGGAGGTCGAGGATAGATGTATTGCGGATCCGATCGGACGCCTACCGCAAGTCGACAGTTGTGCCCATGATATTAAAGTTCTCGATCGCCCGAAGGTTGGTCCATGGCGTATGCGGTTATAGATGCGTACAAATGTACATACCTGTACATGTTTATACACACGCACATGCAGATACAGAGTTGTGTGTCTACATATGTATATATATATATATGTAGAAGGAGGGAGACAGAGAGAAGATGTGAGGGAGAGTGTGTGTAATGTATACGTTACCATGTAGTGAGATATTGTGTGACGTGACGGTGGTTGTGGGTGTGGAAGTGGGCGTGTGCGTGTGTGTGTGCGCGTGCGTGCGTGCCTCTTGCGCGTTGCGCGCTTCGGCGTTTGCCTCCGCGCTGCCCGTCGTTCCCATCCCGTCGATCGGTCTGCCCCCGTCGGCCTGGCCACGCCGTCTTCGCCGACCTTTCACGGTGCGCCACTGCCCGGCTTTGTGTCCCGCGTGCACACTACAGCGGAGACTCATGCCAAGAAGCACTTTGTTTGCCTCCAGGGTGCCCTGGGTTCGTTCGTCTTGCGATGAGAAGCGTGACGTGCCCACACCAAAAACCAATGGACGTCCTGGGGTCTCAGGGTCAGGTTTCTTGTGGAAGGTTTATTCTGGATTGGCCTCCCCTGTAACACCCCTCCTCCTCCTGGTCGTCCTCTTTGGTTGCCCCCCTTTCGTCGCATCTCTCGGCTGCCCCTGCCTCGGGAGACTCCCACGCGGCGTGGTTCCCGATGGGCGAGCCGTGTGCATCCCCGCTGGGCTGCTTGCGTGCCCGCCCGCGGCCGACGGTCTGTTGCGTTCGGGCTTTCCTCCACCGCTCCGCCCCTTCGCTGCGCGCGTGGTCGCGACGCCAAAAGTGGCTGCGTGCCCTTGTGCACACGCCCACTTCTGAGTGCTCGAGCGCCCTCCTCCGTGAGTGCGCGAGCGCCCTCCTCCGCGAGCACCTGTGTGCGCGTGCGCGCGCCGCGCGAGCGCGCGTGCGTGCGCGTCTCCGCGCGCGCGCGCGGGCGCCCGCAGGAGCATGGCGGAGAGCGCCCCCGCGGCCGGCGAGCCGCTCGCAGACGCGGCGGCGCGCGCCCGCGCCCGGCAGCGGCGCCCAGCGTCGGCGGGGGCCTCGCGGCCGTCGGCCGCGCGGGCCCCGCCGGCGGCGCCCCGGCCGTGCGTGGGCGGCATCCGGGGCGCTCCGCTCGTGCCGAGGCCGCTGCGAGGGATCAAGCAGTGGCGAAGCGTTCTGGCTCGCCTATAGCCCTACCAAACAAGGTTCTCAGAACCTGTCGCGGTTTCCACGACATACTCTGAGAACAGTTCTGGCTGAGGCTGTCCTGTTTTAACGCATCGGGCTAATGCTCTGAGAGCATTGCTTCTGTTCTCAGAACACTTTTGGGCTCTAGGAACATTTCGTGGCAGGACTACAGGAATGCAGGGACGGTCGGCCCCTGCTCCGAAGGCAGCCGTCCCCACGGGAGGAGCGCCTCGGGCTTCCCGGGTCGAGGTCCTGCGACGTCCCCCTCGGCCCTCGGCGGCCCTCCGGCCTCGGGGTGCCTTTCCCAGCGGCGGCGCCTCGCCGCGAGCGCTTTTGGGGGGCGCCAGGGTCGCCCCGACCGGCCGCCGCCGAGGCGGGCGGCCCTCCGAGGAGGGCCAGCGATGGATGACGCTGCTCCTCGTGGAGGGCGTTCGTCGCCACGGCGGGAGCATCATCGAAAAACCATGGTCGGGTTGCATCTTCCCGGGAGAGGTCGGGGAGGAGCGGCGGTATCCGTACCCTATTTCAAGGCCCTTTCGGCGGCGGCGGGGCGGAGTGGCCACGGTCAGGGCTGCCTTATTTCAAGGTCCTTTCGGCCTGCCCCGTGGTGCCTGCCTTGCGGCCTCACCCGTCCTTGCGGACAGTGAGGCATTGCCCTCCGACCGCTTGCAGCTGCAGGCCCAGCTGACTCTTCGGGTGCGCGCGCCCAGTAGCCTGCCGAAGAAAGGTATCGGTACCAGGGCTCGAGCTAAACGGTGTTTCGGCGATTTCGTGGACCGCTTCGTCTTGATTCCGTTTTGCAGCAAGGGCGGAACGGAGACAGGACGAGGGTCAACGAAAACAAGACGAACACGGAAACAATTGATCAGGTCGAGTTTTGATTGGTATTTTTTGGCCCCCGCGGATCCACCCACGAAATCAAAACGAACACAGAAGCATTGTTTCGGTCGAGTTTTGATCGGTACCTTTTGGCCCCCACGGATCCACCCACGAAAACAAAACGACCACGGGAGACATTGTTTGGGTAGAGTTTTGATCGGTACCTCTTGGCCCCCACGGATCCACCCACGAAATCAAAACGTCCACGGAAACCACTGTTTCGGTAGAGCATTGATCGGTACCTTTTGGCCCCCACGGATCCACCCACGAAAACAAAACGACCACGGAAACCATTGTTTCGGTAGAGCCGTGATCGGTACCTTTTGGCCCCCACATATCCACCCACGAAAACAAAACGACCACGGAAACCACTGTTTCGGTAGAGCCTTGATCGGTGCCGTTTGGCCCCCACGGATCCACCCACGAAAACAAAACGACCACGGAAACCATTGTTTGGGTAGAGCCTTGATCGGTACCTTTTGGCCCCCACCGAATCCGCGCTGGGTTTGCCGTCGGAGGGTTGCTAGGAGAGGATGACCACACCGAGGCATCGATGCCTTTGAAGGCATGTGTTCACCGCACTGACCCTTTTTGAGACTGCGGCTCTGAGGTATAAAGGTGCAGGCGGCTTCTCGACTGCAGAGGCAACCTTCTAATGATGACATGCGTGCGGGGTGATGGCAATGCGGCCCGTGTGCACGAACGATGTTTCTGTTTCCACCATGGGAGAAAACCGATCTCTGGCTGCTTCTCTTCGGTGCTCAGTGCTCCCCTCGGGGCTCTTTTCCCGTCCGCGGCTCCAGAGGCAGCTCCCTCCTATGACCAGCGAATGTCCGCTCCAGTGGAGAGAATCCGTGTACGCGAAACCTCCAGGCGAGGCACGTAGCTCCAGCATGTGCCAGATACTTTTGGAGGCCTGGAAATGGGCACCAACACCAGCACAGGGGTTTGCCTCCACAGGGGTAAGATGATCCTAGATGTCGGTGTTGGTGGTAATAGTTCGGCCACCTTGGAAGCCAGAACATAACCACCATCACCGAGATCGGGATCTTCTCCCCTCGGTGGAGGCACACCGCCGAAATTGGTGTCGGTGTCAACCTCTAGGCCTGCGATACGTGGTGCTGTGTACCCTCCCCTCCGGGGCATTCCCGAGGGCGCCCCCGCGGGCGCGAGGTCATGCGCGCTTCGCGGCCCGGCTCCGGCTCGTCGTCGTCCTCCTCCTCCTCTCCCCTGGGGGGGGAGGAGCGGCGCGGCAGCGCGAAGAGAGGCGCCCTTGCACTCCATTCCGTTTCCCTCCGCGGCCCCACGCAGGGGGCCCCCGCCGGTGCCGAGGGAGCGCGGCGGGGCCTCGCGGGCGGCGGCCGACGGCCGCGGGGCGCCCGGCGGCGAGGGGGCTGCCGCGGGCGGGCGGGAGGAGCGCCGCAAGCTGAGCCAGGCGTTCGCCAGGGGGGGGAGAGCACCCCAAGCGCCCCCTCGTCTATGGCCCCCTTCCCTGCCTCCCTCCTCCTCCCCCTCCTTCTCCTGCTGCTGCTGCGCCTCCTCCTGCTGCTCCTTGCCCTCCTCCTTCCCCTTCTGCCCTGCCCTGCTCCTCCTCCTCCTCCTCCTCCTCCTCCTCCTCCTCCTCCTCCTTCTCCTCCTCCTCCTGCTCCTCCTGGTCCTTGCCCTCCTCCTTACCCTTCCCCTTCTACCCTGCCCTGCTCCTCCTCCTCCTCCTCCTCCTCCTCCTCCTCCTCCTCCTCCTCCTCCTCCTTTTCCTCCTCCTTGTCCTCCTTTCCCTGCTCCTCCTCCTCTTCCTCCTCCTCGTCCTCCTTTCCTTCACGCTCCGCCTCCTCCTCGTCCTCCTTCCTCCTGATCCTCCTCCTTCTCCTCCTCCTCCTCCTCCTCCTCCTCCTCCTCCTCCTCCTGATCCTCCTCATTGCCCGCTCCCCCCCTGACGTTTCCCCGATCGAAGGAGGCGAGGAAGAGGGAAAGAGGAAGGAGGGAGGAGGAAGAAGGAGGAAGGACGAAAGAAGGAGGAGACGGGAGGTGGTTGGAGGGAAGAGGGGGGGAGGGAGTAGAGAGGATGAGGCCGAATGGCCAGGAGGCTTCCAGGGGGGGGGAAGTGCCTCATATCCCCGACGATGTATTTTGTTTCGATCTGGCCCACGTTGAAGATGGGCCGCGAGGGGGGCCCGCCGGGGGCCCCCGGGGACCGCGAGGCAGGAGACGCGAGGCCGCGAACGGCGACGCTGCCGCGCCGTGCGCCCCGCCCGGTGCCTCGGAGGCTCCACACGCCGCCGCCCCAGGCGAACGGGCACCCGGGGCGCCAGCAGCGGCGCCCGCCCAGCCGGCGCAAGCGCGCAGCAACGACGAAGCACCCCTCGGCTGATGGTGATCAAAGCTACTCTGGCCTTGATCACCAGAAAGAGTTTCGAGCGCCAGAAAAAGTACCCCCAAACACCCAAGGGTTTTCACGTGCCAGGCCCTGGGAGAGACTCTTTCGACACTGTTTCGGCACTCTTTCGGCACTCTTTCGACACTTTTCCGGCCGCTCGAAATTATTTCTGGGATGTGGTTTGTAAGCACGATGGGAGCAGCATAACCTTTGGCCCACCACACACGCCAGGCGGACGTGCGGACACCACCGCACAGTCAAGAGCAGAAGGGCAAGCGGGTGGCGCCATGCCGCACGCAGCAGAGCAGGGCCCACCGTAAGGGCGAGGCGGGAAGCGCCGGCAGAGGGGGACATAGAGCATGGCGGCGCTGGAACGGTACAGCAGACCGTCTCTGACACGAGGGCCGGCATGTTTCACGGCGACCAGGCTAGCGCAGACGCCCTGAACAGATTCGACAGAGTATGGCACGTGACCCTCCTACGCGCGGACACGGCGCCTGGTTTACGGGCGCACGGCGATGTGGAACACGGACTGCAAGACTGCGAACATGCCCTGACCCCTCGGCTGACCGCGCTGAGCGCGGCAGGAACCCTGGACGCTCCCAGCGTCGAGTCCGCGGCTCGGTGCGAGCACGGGCCCGAACGCGCCCGCTCTTGGGACAGCTGGGTCGATGCGGCAGTCGGCGCTGTGCGCACCGCCCAAGATTCAGAGCGTGAATTACCTACCCCGCTTTCGCTTCCAGGAAAAACCGAGTCATACCACGCGCCTCCTCGTCAAGCGGCCCGACCAGTACAGGCCGTAGTTTGGCATCGCTTGGTATCTCTTGGAAGCGAGGGCGGTCAAAAGCGAGGTAGGCTTGTTTGCCCCCCTAAAGATGCAGGCCCCCACGAGGGAGGCCGCGGGCACGACCGGCGGCGAGCGCCCCCTCCCTGTCGCGCGGCTGCTGCTCCTGCCCCTGCTCGGGCCTGCCGCGGAAGGGCCGGCCCTCCCCGCGGCCAGCGACGGGGGCGCCCGCCCGCGCGGCCCCCGCCGGCCCGCGGGGTGCACGGCGTGCTCCCCCCGCCCGCACGGCCGCCCGGCGCGAGGAGGCCCGGGCCCGCAGCCGCGGACGGCTCGGAAGCCGCCTGGCGTCCCTGGCAGACGCGGGGAGGAGGCAGGGGAGAAGAGAAGAGAGAAGACACAGAAGGCAACAGTGACACGAGAAACAGAGCAAGAAGAAGAAGGAAAGACACCGAAAGCCAGTTGCGCCAGAGCATCTCATGCAGGTGCTCACTCGGAGACGAGGCTGCCGAGGGTCGCGCGGAAGCGGTCGCCTGGCAAGATCTCCTGTCTGGACTCGTGCGGGGAGCTGTCATGGTATATCTGCGGACCAGAGCACGGCAGCTCCTCAACCAGTGGAACATACCATGCTTGGGACACGCCGGGGCTTTTTGGCGTCGTTTACCAACCTGGATCCTTGGAGCCACCAAGCGCCAGCCTTGCCCGTGGCCTGGCATGCCTCCGCCTTCGACCATGCAGGAGACATGCAGTCCGACCCACTGTCGTTCCGCCGGCGGAGCCCTTTGACCCAATGTCGAGCGACCTCCTGCGCCAACCACATTCTGGTGGATATCACAGGAGGCCAGCCCAACTGGCACCACAGACGGCCGCCATCATTCTAGGCCGCCACCTCCGTCCTGGGCGTAAGTCGGGCGCGTCCCTCTACATGAGGAGGAACAGTCCAAAACAGGCGAAAAAAATAGGCTGGGGACGACTTTTGTGAAGAATGTTTTGGCCAATTTGTTGCATGGTTTGAATATTTGTCATGTTTCTCCACAGTCCGCCTGTAGGACTAGTTCGTGGCATGTCGCTGGGTATTCTCAACTTTTCCTCCAAAATCCGCCTGTAGGAGGACATGCCCGACCTCACCCTGGGCCCCCAGGGCCCCAGTGACGAAGCCAGCGCAGCCCGGGAGGCGGGCGGCGCGCGGGAGGGCCAGGCGGCCGCCGCTCCGCCACCGGGCTCAAGCCGGGCCTGTCCCTCCACGGGAGGGCCCTTCAAGAATATTTAGAAAAGCAAGACCAAACAAAGCAGCCTGGCGACGCTGTGTCTAGTACGGTTTGCGCACGTGCTGGAGCACGTTTTCATGTTCTTTCCTCGTCCAAACCACGCCTGTGGGGGGACATGCCCGACCTAGCACCAGACAGGCCCCGACGCCGCAGCAACCTTGGACACGGGAAATGGACAGACCCAGCCCAGGGACAGCGCTTTCGGCCTCCCGGCGGCGACGGCGCGCAGGCGCGGCCCTTCGGCGCCTGGACCCCCCGGGGGGCACGCTCTGGACGGCCAGCCGCCCGAGCCGACAAGGTCCCAAGAGAGCGCCAGCGCTCCGGGACAGCCGCTTCCGCTGGGGGCGGAGGAGGAGGAGGAGGAGGAGGAGGAGGAGGAGGAGGAGGAGGAGGACAGGGCCCCGTTGGCAGTGCCAGTCCACCAGCCGCCCGAGCCGACAACGCCCCAGGAGAGCGTCAGCGCTCGAGGATAGGCGATCCCGCTTGGGGGGGGGAGACGCCAGGCGCCCTGCTGGCCCCAGCGCCACAACGTGCCACAACATTTTCCTTTGCGGAGCTGGGCGCCCTGGCGTGAACGTCCGAACGACCCCTGCAGCGGGACATTCTGGCAACGCGGCTGCCGCTGAAAGAACCGTCGGTTCAACGCTGGCACCGCGCAGACGGCACCACGCAAACGCGACGGCAGGGCCCCGCTGGCAATGCCAATCCACCAGCCGCCAGTGGCCCAAGGAGCGGTGCGGTGGCAGCAGTCTTGGGACGCCTCTTGGGGGCTTCAGGGGGCGTCGTGGGGGCCTCTTGGGCCGTCTGGAGACCAGCATGGGCGTTTTGGATCGATCTTTCGGCGGTTCGCGGCCCTCTCGGACGGTCTGGAGGGCCTCTTGGTGTCTTCTTTGGCCTGTTTTGGGAACGCTTTGTCCCCCCGAAGGGCGTTCGGGTCCTCCCTGGGGGACCCCTCCCATCTACAAATCGATTCGACTGAGCTCCCCCAGGGGGGAGGGGAGGAGGAAAGATTTCGCACGCCGATGAGAGCCCCAAGGGGTCGGCGACTTCGTCTGTCTCTTCTTCTGTGCTTGTTTCCTCCAAAGGTGCGCCACGGCGCGCCTGGCGAAGCGCCCAGGCACGGGGCAGAAAAGCATGCCAGCTATTGGATGGGAGCTGGCACGGTCTAGGGGAACGAACAATGACAGAAACATAAAAATTTGGAGGTCCGCGCGGATTTCTCGGATCCGCGCCGGACCTTCTCGGCGCCGCCTCTGGCGCGTTCCGCGCGCAAGGGAGGGGGGTCCAGCGCCGATCCGAGAAATTCGCGCGGATCTCCGAGTTCTCATGTTTATGTCATTGTTCGTTCCCTTAGGGTCGAGTCTGTTTCAGAGGTCGGATCTTCCAGACAAAGGGTGCCCTTTTGTCTTGTCTCTTGGGGCGACGTGGCCTTCGGAAGGGTGTTGTGTCATCCCCGCGTGCCCTCTCTAGTCGGTCTCGATTCGGTTGGATTTCGGACCCAGATCCCGATCCATTGACCGTGAGCGCCCTCCTACCTCAAGGATCGAAGTGTCTTCCTCCTTCAGTTAAGGACGCGGGCCAAAGCCCCGTCTGTACCTTCACTCAACGCCCTCCTTCCTGCTTTGTTCTCCCATCCGCTTCTTACGACTGGTGGGCACCATGCTTGCCTTGTCCGTCGCCTCTCTCGCCCCCCCTGTGGGGGAGCCACCGTCGCCGCCGCGCCAGGACTCGCCACGGAGTTCTGGTGAGAACGCGCCTTGGGAGAGGTCCGGCGAGGAGCGGCATCTTTACCTCAATGTGTTTCCCCATAGGCAGCTCTCTGGAGCGGAGGTCGTGCGAGAGATCGAGGCACAGTGGGCCGCAGTCGTCACCGAGGGCCGCTCTGGCCTGACGCGGTACGGTTACGTCCGCAGGGAGAAGGTGCTCGAGGAAGGAAATACATTATAAACATGCATTGTTTTCTGAGTTCAGAACGGATTTATTGGATCGGCGCTGGAGGCGCCACCAGGAGGGTCCAGCGCAGATCCAAGAAATCCACGCGGACCTCGGAAAGCGTATGTTTACGAAGCTGTTTGGCTGTTGCCTTCTAGGTGTCTGAGCTCTCCATATACGGCAGAGGCCTCGACGCCCTCGACAGGCCCGAGTACCAGAGCGCGGTGACCTCCATTTCATTCCACTGCATCCTGGTGGAGCACGTGGTCCGGGAGGTGGCGAAGTTGGCCAGGTTCCAGGGCCTGTCGTCGCTGACTTTCTCCGCGAACCAAATTTTCAGCATGAACCAGCTGGAGCCGCTGAAGCAGCTGGCATCGCTCACCGACTTGAGCGTGGTGGTCGAAGAAGATAAACTGCATACAAAATAAGCTTTCGGAGTTCCCAGCAGATCTCGGGGATCGTCGCTGGACCCCCCCTGTCGGAGCCTCCGCAGCCGCCACTTGCGCGCTCCGCGCGCCACGGAGGGGGGGCCCAGCGCCGGTCCAAGAAATCCGCGCGCACCCCCGAAAGGTCACGTCTGCTCCCTAATAGCCTTTTGCCTTTTGCCCGGCGGCAAGAAAGGAGGTCAAAGAACCACAGAAAGGCCCCACAGGGGGGACGTGGAGCCCGACCGAGGACGCCCAGTCCAGCAGCTGCTGGCTGCACGTTTGGTCCTGACGGCCCCGATCCGGTGTAAAAGCACACACAGGTGCACACGGCCGTGTCTCGACCTCCTACTCCTCGACCCGCTTCACCTTCGCTGCTCTTAGGGTTCTTCGCTGGGGTAAAGCAGTATTTGTGCCCCTCCAGGTGGACAACCCGGCGTGCGGCGGGGGCTTAGCGCTGCCGCTGCACGCGGCGCGCTTGCTGCCGGGCCTGAAGCGCTTCAACGGCGGAGAGGCCTCGGAGGCGCAGCGGCGGGCGGCGGCGGGCATCTTCCAGCCGCTGGAGCAGGAGTCGGAGGCGAAGTCCGAGCCCCACCCTCGCCAAGCAACGATCCAGGCAGCTCGAAGGGCGGCGGGGACGGGGCTCGGAATTCGTCGAGCACGCGACGACACCCGGACCCTGCTCCCATCGCTGCAGGAGGGTCGATGGTTGGTCTGGTGGGGGTCAGACGTCGCCCCCTGAGGAGGCGGCCGCGGGCCGCGGCGGGCCACCCCCCGCCGACGCCGGCGGGAGGCACGGGCCCGAGTCCCAGCTCATGCCCTGCGGGCTCACGCCCTCGGCCGCCGGTGTACCGAGGAGCTTCTCATCCCGTGGGCCCCCTCCTCCTCCTCCCCCTCCTCCTCCCTCCTCCTCCTCCTCCTCCTCCTCCTCCTCCTCCTCCTCTTCCTCCTCCCCCCCCCTCCTCCTCCTCCTCCTCCTCATCCTCCTCCTCCTCCGCCTCCTCCTCCTTGGAACGTCAGAGCTGCCCCCCACCCCCCCCCGCCAGGCCCGCCGCACGCCCCCGCCTGCTGCGCCCCGCGCTATCCGGAAACGGGTGGAGGGGTTCGCGACCCGGACCCGACGCACGGGAGATGCTCCGGTTCCCTCGCTCGCAGGCTTCCAGGGCCCTCCGGGTGCTTAAGGGGGCGGCCCCCTTCCTTCCCGTCCTCCGCCCTCTCTGCTACCCCCGCCCCTGGCCGCCGTCGCCGCCCGCTCGTCTGGGGGAGCACCAGCCTCTTCCGAGCGCGGAGTCGCCGCGACCAGGAAGCACGCGGCGGGCTCTGGTCTGCAGCTGCGGCGCGCGGACACCGCCCGTCGAAGCCCAGCCAGACCGACCACTCTGGGCGATCGAAATGGGCGCGGAGAGAACAGCGAGGAAGCCCCGCGACAGTTCTTGTCCATGGCGAGCGGGATTCGCTGCCAGCGTCGCCGCCCACGCAGTCTGTCAGAGACAAGAAGTCGCCTGCCCAACAGCGGCCGCCGTTGGTTTCAGACAACATCTGGTGTTGGGCAGTTCTCCGCACCGTGCCAAAGCACCCCTCTTCGGGCGATGCCAAAGGCCCCATTGTCCCAAGAGATCCCCCCGGATGTCCAGGGATGGCCCCTGGAGCACCCCGTCACGAGGCCCACAGGAGAGGCCCAGGGGGCCCACGGCCCAGAGTGGAGCGCGAGGCGGGGAACACCCCGGGCCAGGGCTGCCTTTACCAATGCCCGAGGCCCCAGCCCCCGCGCCCCCGCCACACTCCTGATCGGCCCCGAAAGGCCAGGACCTCTCCAGGCAACCTCCTCCTCCTCCTCCTCCTCCTCATCCTCATCCTCATCCTCATCCTCCTCCTCCTCGCCCCCTTAATCAGCCCGGAGAAGGACGACGAGGGCGTCAACCTTGCCCAATGCGGCCCTCAGAGGGCCCCGAGATGGTGGCAAGAGGAGTTTGCGGGCACTTATCTTGAGGGGTGCGCCCCCGCAGGCCCCGAGCCCCCCCGGACAGAAGGCCCGCGACGGCTAGCCTCGTCTCCGCCCAAAGGGCTTCGAGATGGCCCGTTCTTTGTCCGACTCCGGAGGCCGCCCAATGCAACGACAAAAATATAGCCAGAGTGCAAGATCCCCAAACGGCAATTTCAGAACGCATGACGGTTCCCAATCGCGTTCGCACGCTTACTCCGTGCGGGAGAACATGGCGCTTACACCAGTGGGGTTGTATCAGGTTGTGTGCCACATCGTATGCGCTGCTCCCGCGGGAGGCTCGCGAGCCCACGTCTCAGAAGGTCCGCGGGCCCACGTCGCGAAACAAACATCGCGACGTCGGATGTCTGGGGAAGGCGGAAAGCGGGGCGCGCACGACGGATGTTGATCCGGCAGAAACGACGGAGGCGGCGACAGCGACGGGGCGGCGGATGCAGGGGCTCAGCAGGAGGGAGGCGAGTGGAGGGAGGAGAAGGCAGTTGGGAGGCAGGTGGGAGGCTGGGGGCGGCTGGAGGAGAGATGAGCCAATGGGCTGGACCACGTCGCGCGCGGCATCTCGGAGCTCAGAGTAGCGAGGATGTTGTAGGCGAAACGGGCCAGACCACATCGCGCCCTGGGCTCAGAGTTGCGAGGATGCGACAGGCGGCTCCTCCAGGAGCACCCTTCGACAACAATAGTGGGAGTCCAGGGTTGCGAGGATGTTTCAAGCGAAACGGGCCAGACCAGCTCGCGCGCGGCATCTCGGAGCGCAGAGTTTCGAGGAGTCTCAGGCGAAACGAGTTGCAGCACCTCTGGCGCGGCAGCTCGGAGCCCAGATCTGCGAGGATGTCTCAGGCGAAACGGGCTGAAGCACCTCTCGTGCGGCAGCTCGGAGCCCAGAGTTGTGAGGATGCCTCAAGCGAAACGGTCCAGGCCACCTCTCGCGCGGCATCTCGGAGCTCAGAGTTGGCAGGACGTCTCAAGCGAAACGGGTTGGACCACCTCGCGCGCGTCAGTTCGGAGCCCAGGGTTGCGAGGATTTCTCAGGCGAAACGCGCCAGACCACCTGTCGCGCGGCATCTCGGAGCCCAGGGGCGCGAGGATGTGTCAGGCGAAACGCGCCGGACCACCTCTCGCGCGGCAGCTCGGAGCCCAGATCTACAAGGATTTCGCATGCGAAATTGGCCAGACTACCTCTCCTGCAGCATCTCGAAGCTCACGATGTCTTAGGCGAAACGCGCCATTTCGCGCGCGGCATCTCGGGGCTCAAGCTTAGAAGGATGTCTCAGGCGAAACGCGCCGGAGCACCTTTTGCGCAGCAGCTCGGAGCGCAAATGTACAAGGATGTTTCAGGCGAAACGCGGCGAACCACCTCTGGCGCGGCAGCTCGGAGCCCAGAGTTGCGAGGATGTCTCAAGCGAAACGCGCCAGACCACCTCGCGGGCGGCGATTCGGAGCTCAGAATTGCAAGGATGGTTCGGGCGAGACACCCGTGCCTGGCCAGCTCAGCAGCGAGAGTTTCTTTGTCAGATCTCTGGCGAGGCGGCCCTTGCCACGAAGAGTTGCCTCGATGATGTCGTGGCTCACCCGCCCCTCGACCAGAACCAGTTTCCGACCACTACGCCTAAGTCGGGCATGTCCCTCTACGGGAGGAATATTCCGACATACTTCAAAGATACTATGGGGACGATTGTTGCAGTATGTTTATGAGCATTCTTGGAGTATGCTTTGCCTATCTGCTTATCTTGCAGTTGTCGCCCAAAATGCGCCTGTAGGGCACATGCCCGACCTAACACTACGTACAGCATCCTGTTCAGCGAGCTGCTTGGGCAACAAGGATCATGGTGTGTCTGGGATTCGGGGTTTCATGCCGTGCTCGTCTTTTCCTGCGGGGCGTCTTGCCTCGGGATGCGTTCAAGCAACAGCGCCCCGACTAGGGCGTTCCGGGGATGCCCCCATCGTCCCGAACGGCCGCCAGAACCCCGAGCATGGCCCAGAAATTAAACATCCGAAGGAGGGCCAGTGTGGTAAGTCAATGGGGATTCGGGGCGACCGCCTGGTTTGGGGGATTGGGGCTGCTTTCCGAGGACACTTCGGGCGACCAGGGCCTCCAGAGTCCTGAAACGGGTCTGTGGCGTACCGCGCGGCCAGGTCTCGAGCGCATTCGGGGTCACCGTACAGTTTTGTCCCAAGAGCAGGTCGCGCGGGGGGGGGGGGGGCCCTTCTGAGAAGGCAGGGGGGCGAGGCGGGGTGGCAGGCCCCAGAGGTTTTCAAGAAGGCATCTCAGAGGCCGACCGGGCCTTCCTGAGAAAGCCCCCGGCACACGTTGGAAAGCCCGCCGCCTTCTCAGCAGCCCTCCCCCCCGTCAAGGCCCCACCCTCCGCAGGCGCCGCCAGCACCAAGGGGGGTCGACAGTCCTGGCGGGGGTCCCAGGCGCAGAGGGAGGAGGAGGAGGAGGAGGAGGAGGAGGAGGAGGAGGAGGAGGAGGAGGAGGAGGAGGAGGAGGAGGCGGAGGAGGAGGAGGAGGAGGAGGAAGGGGAGGAGGAGGAGGAGGAGGAGGAGGAGGAGGAGGAGGGGAGGAGGAGGAGGAGGAGGCAGGGAGGAGGAGGAGGAGGAGGAGGAGGAGGAGAGAGGAGGAAGAGGAGGAGGAGGAGGAGGAAGAGGAGGAGGAGGCGGAGGAGGAGGAGGAGTGGGAGGAGGAGGAGGAGGAGAAGTGGGATGAGGAGGAGGAGGAGGAGGAGGAGGAGGAGGGAGCAGGGAGCAGGGAGGAGGGAGGAGGGAGGAGGGAGGAGGAGGGACTGCGGCGTGGGGGCGCGGGGGCCCCGCCGTGTCTTCTCGCCTCCCGCGTCGGGTCGGGTTGCGCCCGGGCTCCACGGCGGGGGCGGGCGGGTCGCGGAGATGGTGGAGGACATCGTGTCGCACGCGTGCGCCGTGGACGAGAAGATCGGGATGGCGCGGGGCCCGGCAGCCCCGAGCGGGAGGAAGGTCGGGAGTTTTGAGTGCAAACGGGGGTCAGCCAGAGCGCTGGATCTTGCAGGATCCTGCAGGGCCAGGGTCGCATTGACCCGGGTTTGGGTGCAGGATCTTGCAGGATTCTGCAAGGCTTGACTGACCTGGGTCTGGATTGAACGGGTCAGAACATCCCCGAGGGGGGGGGGGGCGGCAGCTGACACTTACGTCGGGCATGTCTCTCTACACGGGAGGATGATTTAAAAATGATCGAAAGGCAATCTGGGGACGATTTGTGGACTGTGTTCGAGCATTGTTTGACTATTTGTTTGATTCTTTTGTCATAAGAATCCGCCTGTAGCAGGACGTGCCCAGCCTGAGCTGACCTCTTCTTCTCCTCCTCCTCTTCCTCCTCCTCCTCCTCCTCCACGAAGCAAGCAGATCCTGAAGGAGGCGGGTCCTGAGGTTTCTCTCGCAGGGCTCGGCCTCGCGGGCCCCCCCCTTTCCAGGCCCCGGGATTGTTCACCAGACAGCCAACCTGAAGTCGGGCGTGTCCTCCTACAGGAAGAAAACTCAGACGCAGGCAACACAATGGTCGGGGACGATGTTTCGACGATTCGCTGGTTACCGCTCTGCATTCTTGCGTACTTCCTACGTTTCGTCCAATGCCCGCCTGTAGGAGGACATGCCCGACCTGAAGCCAGCCCGTTCTGATCGAGCGGTCCTGGGGGAGGCCCCAGGGTCCAGGACCCACCTCCTTCAGCACCCGTCCGCTGCCCGGCATGAGCCTGCGTGCTCTGAGCTCCGTGCGGGCTTCTCGGATCAGCATTGCCTCCCCCTGGCGGCCGTGCGCCGGTTCTAGACACCTGCGCGGGCCCGCGAAAGTTTGTGCTGCAGCGACGCAGCGCGGTCGATCAGTCGGGGGAGTCCCAGGGCCTCACGGTCAGCGCCAGGCGGGGAGGACAGGGCTCGCCCAAAGGGAACCCAGATATCCGATGATCTGAATTTGTCAGTCTGGGCTTTTTTGTGCCCCGATTTCGGCCGCCAGGGCCCGTTCTTGGGCTGCGAGACCATCAGGCACAGATCCGGTGCGAAAAGTCTTGTTTGGGGGAGGGGTTTTCTGGACCTCGCGGGCCGCGCCTCGAAGATCGTGCTGGCGGACATCAGCGAACCGCCCCGCGTAGGCGGCTCATTCGGGGGGGGGGAGGCCGAGAGAGGGGACGAGTGGGGCGGGGACTGTAGGACGGTGGGGTGGCAGCAGTGGCTCCTTGGCAGTGCAATTCTTGAGTTCTCATTTCTAAACCATCAATGTGGTTGATCCCCCCTCTGGTAAGCATTGACACTGTTGAATTAAAGTGCTTCTCCTGGGGCTGGCACCCTGCTTTTTACAAGGTGAGGCGCTGTGTGGGGGGGGCACCACCTACCAAACCACCCCAACCCAACCCGAAGGCCCTAATTTGCCCTCCATTTCCAGTGGGGGGGGGGGGGGGGAACATTGATAAAACACATATGGAGCCCGTCGTACCCCCCCCAACCCGAAAGTCGGGTCTTCGGGTTGGGTTGGGGTGGTCTGGTAGGTAGTCAGGGGGGCGAGGAACAACGGGCCACTGAGGCGGAGCGGGAGGTGGCGAGCAAGGCGAAACAACCACAGGAGGGGGAGCAGCGGCAGGCAGCGGCCAGGCGGCGGACAGCCCCGTGGGCAAGCGCACACATTTCAACGACGCGGCGGTGGAAAGGAATCACCAGCTCAAGAAGTACAACGGCGGGGCACGCGCAAAGTAAACCGGCAAGCGTGCGTGGGAGCGTGGGCAGAGCTGGGGACCCCAGGGAAAGGTAGGCATAGCCGCCCGCCAGACACACGCACGCTGCTCTTCTGACCCGCCGGCGGGTTACAGCCTGCTGTGAAGAGTGGAGCAGGGGCACTGCCAAGACGAGTGGTCCACCTCTGCAGACACGCGAAGCCTCCAGAAAGCCCCAGCGAGAGTCGGACACTGCCGACCGCCGGAGGAACTGGGGGCCGACGGCACACCCGAGGGCGCAGCGGAGGGAGTCGGCAGGCCGGATGAACAGGACAGGGCTGGACCTAAGCGGTGTTTTGGCGATTTCGTGGGCCGTTTTCGTTTCGAGCTCGTTTTCCGGCAAAGGCGGGTTGAAGACAAAACGAGGGAAAACGAAAACGAAAAACACCGTTTAGGTTCAGCCCTGGAACAGGAAGTGATTCGAAGAGGCGCGCAAAAAGCGGCCGACGGTTGAGTCGAAAGCGCCAAAGGCACACACGTGTTCTTCCGACGCATTGGAGAACCCAATTTGCGGTTTACATTGAGTTCCTTTGTGAAGCCGCGTGGACTGCAACCCTTGAAAGGCGCACATATTTGGGCGGAACAGGGCAGATAAGCCATGAGAAGCACGTGATGGCAGCACACGCCCACACCCGAGTTGGCTAACAACATAAGACAGGGAGACGTTGAAGGAGTGCCTCCTGATGCTGGCCCCACCCGCTCGCGGCCAGCCACCGTGTGCGTGCCGTGCCTCTTTTACTGTGGTTTGGCTCGCGCCGCGCCGTGCCCCAGCTCGCACCACCAGTTCGGAGCCTCTCCGATGCCCACTGGCTGAAGAGAGTGCCTTGACCCCCTTGAAGAACCAACAACACACACCTGTGCCCATAGGGGGGTCGGAGAGGGCTATGGGTGCGTGTTGTCGGATGGGGGTCCCCGCTCGAAAGGGAGCGTCCCCCAGGGTCCGACGACCCGCACCCATACCCATAGCCAGTCCTCCTCCCAACGACCCCCCTATGGGTATGGGTGTGTGTTGTTCGTTCGTCACCCCTGGGGTCATGCGGCAGGGCTCGAGCGCCCTGGCCCGGGCGCCTCCGCGGCCTCGCGATCGGCACACCCGCACCGAGGGCGGGGGAAGGAGCAGACGCGTCGTGCTCCTGGCAGCTCTTCTCGTCGCTTGCCCTCCCACCCCCGCACGTCGCTGCCTCGGCCGTGCCCCGGCGCTGGCGGGAGGAGGAGGAGGAGGAGGAGGAGGAGGAGGAGGAGGAGGAGGAGGAGGAGGAGGAGGCAGAGGAAGAGTGGCTGGCGACGCTCCCCTGGGCACGCCGGGGGAGGGGCGTGCAGCGCTGGGCGAGGGCGCACGGCGAGGGCGAACGCGTCGACGTGGGCGATGGCTGGTGTCAGGCAGTGGCGAAGCGCCCTGTCGCGCTTATATAGTCGGGGCCCTGAAGAAGGAACTCTTTTCGTTGAGGAGGGGCTCCGTGTTCCTTGACTGTTGTATAGCTTGCCTTAGCTGTTCTTTCGATGTTCGATGGGAAATCGAAGTTCAACTGATGGGAAAAAGGGGCCTCGTTCCTTATTTAGGGTTCCTTAAGTCAACGCCCCGACTGTATAGCCCTACCGAACAGTGTTTTAAGGACCTTTTTGTGGTTTCCACGAGATGTGTTTAGCACGTCGGGCTCATGTTCTACGAACATCGCTTTTGTGTTTAAAACATGTCTGGGTTCCAAGAACATGTCGTTGTAGGACTATACGGGCGCCGGGACGGTCGGTCCCTGCTCAATGCTGGTCACCGTGACTCGGGATTCCAGTGGAGCGTAAGGGTTGTCTCGTCGACCCTGCCGAACTCAGACTGTGTGGAATCCATGCGTCCGGGCGCTCTCCGGGGCCCGCTCGCACATGCGACGGCGCAGCTCGTGCAGGGCTGCGGGGCCCGAGCGTCGTTGCCGAGTCGCGCGAGCATCCACGCATGCCTGCACCGGGCACCCGCCTCGAAGAAGAGCACGACTCGGCATCGCTCGGACGTGTGCGCTTTTTCCTCTCGGCGAGGACCGTCGAGGAGCATCCTTGATCATTTGGCGAGCAAGCCACGCACGAAACCAAAAAAAACACACACAACATGGACGTCCGAGCGATGGCGAGACGATGCACAGACAGGCCAGCGTTCGGAGGCCTGCGCGGAGATCTTGGGTCGGTCGGCGCGGGACGCCCCCCCCGGCGGCGCTTTTCTCTGGCACGCCACCCCCTGCAGGGCACAGCTGCGCCCCGAGCGATGCCGATGCGGCGTCGACTCTGGCCGGCCCGATCCGACCCGAGGCCGATGTTCCTCAGGAGGGAAAGAAACACACGGACACAATGAATCGTCCAAATTCCCAGAAAATATTGGAAAAAATAGGGGAAGTGGGGGGGGGAAGACAGGAACCCAGAAAATGTGGGGAAAGTATGGGGAATCGTTCTATTTGTGTGTATTTGTTTGTGTGTCCCAGGGCCCCTTCAATTCCGGCGATCGGACGCGGCCCAGATTAGCTTCCTGGAGGTCTGCGCGGACCTCCTGGGTGGGCGCCAGGCGCCCCCCTGGCGGGCCCTCTGTTACGGCGTGCGCCTCGAAAGTCTACGTCAGTGCCGCTCGTGCTCCCTCGAGGTCAGGAGGGAAAGAAACACACAGACACAATTAATCTTCGATCTCCTGGAAGATATGGGAAGTGGTGGGGAAGACAAAAACCCAGAAAATATACGAAAATATGGGGAATCTTTTTATTTGTGTGTATTTATTTGTGTGTCCCAGGGCCCCTTCACGAGGAACAGGGCCAGGAGCAGGAGGAGCACGAGCATGCGCACGAGCAGTATACGCTGGTGCCCACGGGTATCCTACAGTCCACGCGCAAAGCAAGGACGCGCGTCTTTTCTGGGATGCTCTTGCGTCCTTGCCACTGCGGCCCGTCCTCTGCCGTTTTCATTGGTCGCCCGTCGTCCAAAAATACCAACTTCGGCTTCCAAGGGTCGTACGTCCTTACCACCTAAAGATACGTGTTCACTGTGTTCGGCAGCGCCTCGAGCCCCTCTTCCCCGCGCCCCGCTGCGCAAGGTGCACGCCCACTTCGAGGGCGCGGTGCTCGACGCCATACGGGAGGCGTGGGACGACGCCCTCGCGGCAGAGGACGAGCACGCGTGACGAGCGCCAGGCGGGTGCCCCTCCTCCCCCTCGCGGCCACCTCCTCCTCTTCCTCCTCCCCTTCCTCCTCCTCGTCCTCCTCCTCCTCCCTCTCCTACTCCTCCTGAACGCCGGTTTTACGTCCACCGGCGCCGCCGATGGAAAGTGTTAGCCGAGCGTGTGGTGAGTCCGTTCAGCCCCACCGTTAGCACCGCAGCCCGTGTCGATTCTGATGGTAGGCATGGACGACCTTCCAAGGTTACCGTTGCATCCTCCCCTTTCGGCCCAGCCTTGGCCACTTTCGTTGGTCGCGCCTCGCTCGATAAGTGTCGGCATGGCCTTTGCATCCTTCTCGTGCATCCTTACTACCAGTTTTGCTGTTGTTGAAGGGTCCCGGTGGACAAGCACGCGTCGGCGCTGGCACACGTCCTGAGGATCGTCGAGACACCCCCCTCGCCGCGCCCCAAGACGCGGACAGGCGGGCGGAGAAAGTTTCTGAGAGGCACCCCTGTTTCTTCAAAGGCGCGGGCCTTCTGTAGATGTGAAGTCCGCGCCTTCTAAGAAGCAGTCTCCTTCGAAGAAGCCTCCCCCCCTCCCCCTACCCCCCCCCTGTGCGCGCCGCCAAGAATGGGACGGGGTGGAAGAGGTGTAGGAGGTGGGCGAGGGAGGAGTCCGCAGCTGGCGGAGACGCAGGGCTTCGTCCTCCCGGGCAAGTCCGATCGTCCCTCTGGCCTCCTCGCTGCCCATGGCTTCCCGCCGTGCCACCGCAGCCCTCCATTGGTTCTCCCTGCGCTGCCGCCCCCCCGGCTGCAGCCTGATGTGCCGCTCTCCTCTGCCGCCTCTCCTCGGAGTCTCACCTGTTTGTTGGTTGCTTTCCGTGGCCTCATCTCGAGACGATCTCTCGTGGGGTGTCCCGCCCCAGCGTCAGCGCGCTCAGCCCTCCCACACGTTTCCCACTGTCTCCTCCCCTCGGATTTCCCTCCTCCTTACCCCTTCCACCTACCCTCCCAGCGCCCTCGTCGCTTCCGGCAGGCACACCAAATAAGACATCGGTTTGCCAGGAGGTGCCCCGCGGAAATGTCTTGTCTACCGATGGCTTCAGGGACCTACAGAAGCTCTGGGGGGGGTCATCTTAGGATCCTCAAATACATCGACGAATAATGCGCTCCGACGTCTCTCGTCGCAAAACTATTTGATCGCATGTACGGCAGGTTCACTTCGTGTCGACCGACGGCGACCCGCCGGCGGCGTTCAACGTTGAACGCCGGCGGCGACCCAGAATTGGCCGATGTTGAACGATTGGTCGTGACGGGAACGGCCGATCGTTGAAGGTTGAACGATCCACGTGGTGTCAGAAGCCAACGCCAGGGTCGACACGACGCGAACCTGTCGTATCTACCGCACCCCCCCTTGGCCTGCTCGGATGCCAGCATGGGACGCGCCAGGTCCACGGGGCCATCGGCGCGGCACCGGCCGGCGGCCGTGGCGGCGAGGACCGTGGCGGCGCCGCCGCCCTGGGCGCGGGCGCTCGGCGAGAGCGGGCGCTGCCGCGAGGGGGCGCGCGGCTGGAAACGTGCCTCCGGGACCCGGGCCGCGCGCTGGGGGAGCCAGTGCTGATTCGGGCGATCGCAGACATTCAAGCAGCGGCGAAGCGTCCTGGCTCGCCTATAGCCCTACCAAACAATGTTCTAAGAACTTTTCGCGGTTTCCGCGAAAGGTTCTTAGGACATTTCTGGCGGAGTCTGTCTTGTTTTATCACATCGGGTTTATGTTCTAAGAACAGTGCTTTCTGTTATTCGAACATTTTTGGGTTCTGAACATTTCGTGGTATGACTATAGGAATGCCGGGACGGTCGGTCCCTGTTCAAGACATGTCTCAGAATCAGTTTGAAGCGGCAGTCACGCGTTCTTGTTTCGGGGCCGAGTGTTAAGCAACCACCCTGAAGCGATCGCAAACATGGATCAAGGGGGCGTGGATTAGCGACGGGTCCCGCTTCAATAGGAAATCGCGGATGTCCGCCGCCGGACGAGGCGGCGCCAGCCGCATTTTGGGGAGGGCACCTCCCCCGATCCATGGATGTGGCGACCGCGGGTCAAATTCAATTGATCGGTAAACCGTGTTTGCGCGCCCTCGATTCCGGGACCCGGGCCGCGCGCTGGGGGGCCTGTGCTAATCAAGGTTCCCCGTTCGTTAGTCGATCGCCTCCAAGATGGTCCCTGAGAGGCCCCCAAAAGGCTCCCAACGGGGGTTGGTGGGGGCGAGGTGCACGGCCGTCGTCGGAGGGCAGGGGGAGAGGTGGAGGGTCGGGGGCGTTCAAGGGGGGGCGAGGATTGCAGTCTAGTTTAATTAGTAGGTCGGCCCTGCCAAATCAAGGATACCCTTGTGTCCTGCGTATGGCGTCTCACGTCTGCTGCATCCTGGGGCCAGGGTGCCGTGGTTAGAGGCCGTGTTGCTCCTGGAGGAGTCTTGTGCCCTCTCGCTCGTCCTATCCTCTCTAATGACACTCGATTGAAGGGGCGGCCAAGGTCGGTGCTCGTTGTTTTCGTTTTGGTGTTCGTTGGCTTTTGTAGGTTTTTCTCGATCCTGGACGTTTTTCATCAGTTACGTCTCGTCGAGAGCTTTCTGGTTGTGCCGCGGTCGTCCTGAACAGCCGCTGGAGGTTCGAGTTGAGATTCGAAAAGCACTATGCGTCCAAGAGGCGGTGAGGACTGGGGGGATCGGTCGTAAAAAAACTGGTAAATGTGTGTCTGGGCCCTTCAAATTTCAATCTTCGAAAGCTCACAGTTGTATTGGCTCTGGGGCGCTCCACTGCGTGCTGCATGCACGGTGGCGGAGATAAGAGGGTACGAGCATGAGTGGGTCTGGACGGGAGTGAGTCTGAGTATGCGTGGGTATGTGTACGATCGAGTCTGGGTACGAATGTCTCAGCAGGATCGGTTGAGTACGAGAGAGTATGAATACGAGCCGGTCTGGGCGTGTGTGTGCGCACGTGTGGATGTGAGCAATTCTGAGTTCGAGTGGGTCTGAAGGTTTTTGAGGATGAGTGGGTCTCAGTATGCATGAGTATGAGTGCGTGGGTGTATGAGTCGGAGTGTCAGCGACTCCTTATCATGAGGGGCACATCTGCGCAAAAGCATGAGAACCACGGGCAGACGATATTGTGAAGCGTTGGGGGACAAGTACGTATCGAATTGATAACGACAGCGATACGGGAGCAAGATCAGCACATGCCACTCGGACGTAAGCAGGGCAAAAATATTGTGGCGGCGGAGTGCCACTCTGGCTGCGCCGTGCCCCAGTGACGATCGTGGTATCGCGGCATTCTCATGTGAGGCAAATGATGCCGAGTTGCACGGCAGTGGAGAAGGGGGCAACGGAGGGGCCGTCCCACGGAGAGAGCGAGAGCTGATGCCCACCCAAGTTGAGGTTCAGGTCTGGGCAGAAGGGGGAGGGGGAGAGGAGAGCGGAGGGAAGGGGCGGGGGAGACTCTGAGGCGCGAGATGTGCCGCGGGCGATCCGACAGATCCACTCCGCGAAGATTAGATTGGAGCAGGTCTCGACGCCCTCGTCGGGTAAGATCTCGTCGCCTGCGTCGTCGTCCTCGCACTCGTCGCCGCGCTCGACGTCGTCGCCCCATCGGCTGTCCGTGCCGCCCTGCCCGGCCGCGCCCAGGCGACGGCGGCGGCGGGGCCCTGAGCAGCCGTTTTGCCGCCAACTTCGACCGCTGACGCCGCGCCTCGCCCCCGGGCGGGAGGCTAAAGGGAGCGGCCAAAAGGGGACGGCGACAACGGGCGTGTGGATGTCAGGGCTGGGGCCATGATGCCTCCATGGATGTCATGCCCCTCTCTCCTGATGTCAGTACGTTGCCTTTGGGCCACCTCCTTGTTCCGAGCACATTCCTCGGGCCATGACACACGCACCCCACTCTTTCTTGAACGCCCCCCTCCTGGCCGCCCCGAGTTGAGATCCGGGGGGGTGGTCGGGTCGGATGGGAGGGGGGTGGGACGGGGAGCGGAGTCGGGACGATCAAATTCGAAGAAGGAATGTTTCGGATGTCCGCGCGGATTTTTTCGATCGGCGCTGGGACCCCCTGGCGGAGCCTCTGGCGCCGCCCTTGCCGAGCTCCGCGAGCCAGGGAGGGGGCTTCAGCGCCGATCTAAGGAATCCGCGCGGACCTGCGAAAGTTTATGTCTGTGCAGTTGCTCTTTTCCAGATTAGGAAAAGGCGTCGGGACGGTCGAAACGGGTACGTAAAGAATGGGGACGAAGGCCACCAGTTTGTCTGTGTTGATCAGAATGCATTGTCGGTGCCACCGCGGACGCTGTCCATGTGAGCCAACATATCGCACGTCTAACAACGACCGCTGTCGGTGTTGGACAACCTTTGTTGCTGGGCATCGAACCTATGCTTATTGTGCTCGTTCGAGGCGTGCCAAGGGTAGGTTTCAGAGGAGATGGGGATTCGCGGTGTTCGGGGTTTCCCAGTCGTTCGCACGTTCTCGTCGGTTGTCGGCGGTTTTCCAGTCTCGGGGTGCTCTCCAGCAGCTGCGCCTCGCCGGGAGCGTTCCGGGGGGTGCTTGCATCGTCGAGAATGGCCGCTCCGAAAAGGCAGGGGCAGGGCGACGGGTTCTTGGGGCGTGCTTCTTGATCTCGGCCTGAGCTGGCTCGGCAGTCGGCCCCCCAGCCCTCTGAGGTCGATCCGGGATGAAACAACTAGCCAGGATGGACCCTAGTGATCTTTGTTTTTATTTCCTGTTTTGCCGATCGGCGCAGGCCCTCGCCCCCCCCCTCCCCCTCCCCCTCATGGAGTAGATCTTGGCTGTTGTGTGGGGCCTGTTTCAGGCAGGTGGAGCCTCCCCCATAATGGACGTCCTGTTGCAAACAGCCGCATTAAGCAGAGGTCCGGAGCCAGACCCCCGCCCCTCCTCCCCTTCCGCCCAATGTCGAAACGCCGAATAAAGAAACGCTCACCTAGGGGGGGGGTCTGTGGGTTGGGTGTGAGCGGTCTTTGAAGGGAGAGAGGAGATGGGGGAGGAAATTGTCTGAAGTCCTGTGCCTTTCGTGACATCTGAGGCATCCAGGAGGGTCACCATGAAGAGACGGAGTCCTGAGAAACAGGGGCCCACGGGTTTTCACCGTGCTTTGCCTCCCGGGGCTCATCCCCAGCCCTGGGGCCGCCAAAATAGTTACCCGAGGTGAGA